GTGGCAGGAAACCCATTGGCTGAGATAAGAATACGGAAAAGGGACATTTTCCAAAGACAAGGCCATACCCAGGACCATTCCAGCTCAAGTCAAAGGTCTGCTGTTTGAGACCAAAACCGAAGGAAACTAAAGATTCAGAGAGAACAAAAGATAAGCATCCCTGGGGGACTTAAAGCCACACCACCCATGTCTGTATCTCACCTTATAGAATGCACACTCTAGGACCGAGGTCATGAAAAGCTGGGTCAGCTGAGCCAGGCTCACTCTGTCCAAATATGACTCTTTACCTGAAAAAAATAAACTGAGTTTGAATTCTGGCATGCAAAATGAGGGCTTATGATCATAAAACAATTCATTCGCTCCTAAGGAACGCACTTTTAAATGACACTAGAATTATGAGTCAATGTACACAGTACCCAAGTACATCCCAAGTTACAATGGTTAACTTTTTAACCACCTCACCTTGCAGCCGTTGAAGGAAAAAGGGGCTGAATATTTTTGACATAAAATTGACTGGATGGCACTCAATCAGCGAACATGAGTGAAGAAGCCTCAACAGCATTTTTGGTGGAAAACGGTGGAAATGAGCAAACAGCACACTTTCTAGCTTCCTAAATAGAACAGGGGCATTCGGTGGCAAATAATTTAGTTTCCCAAATGGTTCGATTAATTCGGAAATCTGACTAGGTGAAAATTTTTCTGACTGGAAGACAAAAGTCTCTGCAACTGCGTCGAGGATGGGCTTGGAAAGAATTCGCTTTCTACCGCAGTACTCCATCACGGTGCTGGTGACCTCAGGGTCCAAGGAGAGGCACAGGGCAGCTACGTGCTGCTCTAACGCCTCCGTGAAAAACCTGTCGCTGTGTCCGAAATACACGAACGCCTCCAAGACCTTCCTGAGCTCTTCATTCGTAAAACGAGGAATGTATCTCACGGCACACTTGCCCAATTTTATAACCAGTGGCAGGGCGTGGGTCTGGTCAAGAGCCACCAAGGCAGTGAGCACATGGCTGATGGATTTGGGACTCAGGTAGGAAACCACTGAGAGGGCAAAGCTGTTTACTGAGTTTAAAAAGGTCTGGTGTCTGTCCACCCCTTCAGGGCACGCCTGCAGAATTCTATAAATGGCCACAATATCCTCTGGGGCAAATGTCTCCAGATTTTCACTTTGCAGTTGACAGATAACCAGGTCCAGTGTCTCACAGCCTGAACCCTGACATCTAACCAGAGTCTCCCCAAGAAGACAAAGATGGTGAGCTTCCAGGCCGCCTCTCTGGAGACGGCTCTGGCATTCTGCCCTGAGGCTCAGCATCAGGCTACTTTGAGGGTCCACAGGCACCAGAACCAGAGCCTGCAAAGCCGTCACCAGACCAGCATTGGTCAGATGTGAGGGGTCCCGCGCACACTGGAGGCATAAGGCTCGGAAGGTGCTGTTGTCTAGTACTCCTTGCGGCAGCCTTGGCTCACCATCTCTTTTCCCCACCTCACAGATCCTGTGCAAGGCTGCTGACGCCAAAGAGACAGGCAGAGTGTCCAGTGTACTTAGGAAACTCAGCACTTCTTCCGGGGAGAGGAAGCTGTTGAGTCTCCTCCTGTAAAGCGTCTCTTCATCCTCGTTTTTAAGACCTTGTTCCGGCAGGTTCCATTCCTGTACTTGAGAGAACCAGGGCTCAGCAGCTGGATGAAGGTCATTGCCGTTTTCTGAGTGGAAGTTTTTACAGTAGGAGTGATGGAATCTGACCCTCACCAGTTCAGGTTGCAGGGAACAGAACCAAACACGGAGACGATCTTTGACTGCTTTTTGGACGTGACTGGCAGGGTGAATTTTCAAAGCAGCCACAGCTCCAGGTATCCAAAAATCAGACATATGACAAAAGTTTCTCCGCAGGGTGATCAACGCCATGCCATCAGATGCACAGCTCTTGACTTAGCATAAAAACAAAATTTAAAAAAAGGTCAATTATATATTGAGAAAGATGATTTAACATCAACATTTACAAAACTAGGAATGAGAATACCATGACAACACTAAAAAACAAGAACTAAAATATATATTAAAAAAAAGAAAAGCAAGGTTTCTACAAGCCAGGAAATAGAGACGACCTGGGAAGCCCCCACCCCTTCTCCTGGTCCTGACCTCCATATCTAACTGGCTGACACCCAACAATTTCTCCATAACTAGCCAGGCTCCCTGCAAAGACCTGCACACCCCTTCCTGGCAGTGCCACAACGATTGTTTTAAAAATGAACTATGCCTTAAATCCTTGTGTCATATGTGTACTAAGGATCTGATTAATAATTTACATCTAGTAGCATGCCCTTCTCCGGGCCACACAATGTACCCACACAAAGGTTTCCTCTTCAAGGCCCAAGTTCTATGGATAAAAGGGAGTATACCAACACACGCCTCCCTTAACATGTAAAGTTGGTTGCAGATTAAATAGTTCCAAAACCCCCACAACCACATACATCGTTCCATGCTGGGGCTTTCAGGCCCAAATGTCTCCTAACAGTCTGCAAGAGATCCTGTCTTTCTGTGTCATCCATGAACTCACTGACTTTGCTTCATTCTGGCTCATCCCGAAATTCTTTTCTGTGGCCCGTGGACACTTTAATGGAGCCCCTCTGGAGCTCTTGAGGATCGTCAGGTGCACTGTAGCATCCTAGGGCTGACTTCCTGTGGCCTCACTATCCTTCCTAATCATAACCACGGTCACTGCCCAGGCCCTGCTGTAAGTCCTATCTATGGACTGGCTTAACAGCAATTCAGTTGGTTTGAGCGACGCTTTCCCAGCCATGAAACTGCAAGACAAGGGAATCTGCCGTGCCCAGTTATGCTGCGAGCCAAAGAGCGAGCAGGAATTCAAATTCTACCTCTAAATCTGGAGGCTCGCGTGTTGGCGGAAGGAAAAGTCGATAGGTAGATAGATAGACAGACAGGTAGGTAGGTAGAGAGATAGAGAGACAGAGAGATAGATAGATATAGATGATTGATAGATGATAGAGATGATTGATAGATGATAGATAGATAGATAGATATAGATGATAGATAGATAGATAGATAGATAGATAGATAGATAGATAGATAGATAGATAGATGATAGATTTTTTTTTTTAAGAGAGGGGAGAAGCCGGCGGCAAAATTCAAACTCGGAGTACGAGCCGGGCAAAGCGTGGTGCTAAGAGGCGCTGAGGAGCCAGGGAGGGAGGCGGCGGCTGGGGCCGCGGCTCCTCCGCACAGGTTCAAGCAATCCCCGGAAAGCAGACGGAGCAGAGGCAACGGCAGAGGCAGGAGCCGCGCGGCCACACCGGAGCACGCGAGTATCGGGGGTGAGACTGCAGGCGGCGACCGTGACCGGAGAGCCGGGGAGGGGGGACCTCGCCCCACGGAACCTACCGAGCGGCGGATCCGAGCGGCGCCCCCGGGCGGACGCGGAGCTCCCGAGCCCGGCGAACGCCCGCACACTTACCAGCGTCCCTCACCTGGAGGACATCCCGGCGCACGCGCGCGGCACTGGGGCCCCGCCCACATCCGGCGCTCAGCGATTGGCCCAGGCCCGCCGGCCGTTTCTATTGGCGGTGCGTCAGGAGCATGCGCGGTAGACGTCCGTGCGCGCGTGCGCGGTGTCCCCAGGCGGTGCCCGGCTTGGCGTGGGGAACGCCGTGTCGCGCGCAGGAGGTGGAGGCTCCGGGGGGTTCGCGGCCCCGGGGGTGGCGGGGGACCGACAGGGAGCTGGGGCTGGCGCCTGCGTGGTGGAGGTGACGTGTCTGGGTCTCCGGGGCCGCGGGGAGGGGGCTGACAGGGTGCTGTGGGGAGGAGGCTTCTTGGCCACCTTTTCCCCCTCCAAGTCCCGCACGTGTCGCGTTGCGAGTCACCCAGGGGTCCTGTCAACTCTGTATCCCAGCTGTCGTCTGGTCCTTAGCAGTGCTTCGTTGTGAACCTGCAAGTTTTCGTGTCCTGGTTCGCCCGCTGATAAGCCGCAAGAGCATCCAACTGTAGTGGCTTCACTCACCCAAAGTCAGTCAGTTTCCTGCACGTTGACAACTTTTCAGGGTTAGCCACTAGATAGAGCGGAGGAGGTGCGTGGAACCCCATTTGACTCTTGGTTATCTCCGAGGTGGTGCGTGGCTTAGAAATACCGTCCCTGCAGTTGTTTAGCTTGATCTGTTTAAGGGGCCCCTAGCAGTGGGATCGGGATCTACCCCTGGTGCATGAGCTGGCGTTTTTGGAGCCCAGTGCCTATGGTGGGACACCTTACACAGCCTTGGTGCAGCGGGGAGGGGCGTCGACCTGTATCAACTGAATGTACCAGGCTCTGCTGACTCCCCATGGGAGACCTTGCCTTGGAGGAGGTGGGAATGGGGCGTGGGTTGGAGGGGAAGGCCCGGGAGGGGGGGGGGGCGCGAGAGGGGCATCTGTGGTTGGTATGTAAAATGAACAGAAAATTTCTTAATAATAATCAAAGAAATACCGTCCCTGTGTGCAAGTCCATGTACACTAATTACTGATTTAATGTAACGGTGGGAGCTCTTAGGACGGTCAGTATTTTGAATAAGCTCCAGCAGGAAACAGGAACTCCCCAATTTTAGGGGAATGTTGTACACTTACAGTTTTTAAAAAGGAAGAAACAGAAAGACCTTTAAAGGTAAGTGACACTGTGCTTGAGCTTTGCTCGGGCCCTTCGCCTTGTCATCCCTAATCATGAAGTTTTACAAGCCTAATCCTGCATAGGAATGAGCAGAGTTGAGGGTCAGATCACCCTCCTACCAGTATGCACCTCTGAAAAGCACTTGCAAGATCCAAACACAGCTGGAAATCGGAAGTGGATTTCTGAGCAATGGGATTAAGAATCTCACTTCTGTATGCTTCCTGTCTTAATTCTCTCATACTTAAAAATCAGTGCTAAGAAACAAGTTTAAAGATTGCTGTAAAATTAATACCTGCGGGTCACCTGCCTCATTAAACAGTATTCCCTTCTCCCCTTTGTGGTTTTTCAGTCTCACTGTTAGAGTTGCAGCCGATGACCTGAGGTGATGAGAAGATTTCTGTTGCTGTATGCTACACAGCGAGGACAGGCGAAGGCCATAGCCGAGGAAATAAGCGAGCAGGCTGTGTCGCATGGGTTTTCTGCAGATCTTCACTGTATTAGCGAGTCGGAAAAGGTAAGGGCAGCTGTTTCTGTGGGTTTTCCTGCACCTTGTGCTATGAAATGGTCGCTTGTGAAATGAAGCTCTATATCCGTCCCTGTCCACTTTTTTTTGTTGTTATGGGGCTCACCCAAGCCAGCCTTGAACTCACACTGTAGCCCAGGCAAAACTGGAACTTGGGGTCATCCTGCCAACTCGTTGAGATTAAATGTAGAGGTGTATATTTGAATTAGGTTAAAAAAAATCTTAGAAACTGAAACACATACTACCTACCTGTAAATGGAAACAGTAATGTGTGCTTCATTTATCTCCAACTGTGAGAACAAATATGATGTTTTTGTATGGCTTTTTGCACAGTTATGTTTTTTCACCCTATAAACTCGGTACCCCTTCAGATTCCCTAAAAAGTCCTTGCCATTCATTGTAGAGTTCCTAAAAATGAAAGGCCACTGGGCTTCCTCCATGAACTGGAATTTACAGGAGTGGCTTTGTGATCCAGTAAGCCTGCTCAAGTCAGGGACTGCTAGTCTGTGTAGTTACAGTTTCTCTGAGAAGTCCCTGCATTAGGCAGAGTTGATAAGCACTTGACCGTTCTGTGCCCTGTTCTCAGTCTGAGGGATCCAGAATATAGTGTTCACAGTAGTTCACGTGATAAGACATGATACAGCTAAATGCTTGAGCTGGCTCCGAGCCCTCAGATTGACTTCAGTACCTCAGAAGCTATCTGAACAGTGTTCTCTCTCTCCAGTTGAGTCTCCCCTGGCCTTTCACAAACCACAGTTTCAGAAGGCTAGACCATCTGAGGTATGGTGAATTATGAATTATGCTTATCAAAGGAGACATCCCCTTCTTGCACCTCAGCTGTAGCTGAGCTTCCAAGGTCACCACCAGTCAGACAGCCCTGTCATTAATAAGCAGTAATTCAAAGTAAACATACCATGGTGCTCGTGCTGGACTGTACCCTGAACCTGTAATAACAGGCAGATGTCGACATTAAACTAGCCCCTGTTGGGCCTTACAGTTGACAGCACCAGCCGGGTCGGCATCCGTTTGGCGGGAAGGTGAATGGCGGTTTTTCTTTTAGTGCCATTTAAACTGGGCTCTTTGCTCCCCTGGCTGAGCAGTTTCTCCAGTTGAGCATGATCTACGTGGAAAGGAGAGCCCTCTGTTCCCTACTTCACAGTAGTCCTGTTCATACTGCCTTGTGAGCATTTAACAGCCTGGTAGAAAGTCACCCCAAATCCTTAGCCATCGGCATGGAAAAGAAAGTGCAGGCTGGTTACAGCTAAGTGGTAGGCTCTGCGTTAAATCGGGAGCCACAAAAAAGTAAAATAGGGTTGGGGGTGTAATTAATTCAGTTCACAGAATGCTTGCTAGCATGCACAAAGTCTTGGGTTTGATCCTTAGCCCTGCATATCGTCTGGGTGCAGTGGCATACACCTATAATCCAGTAAGACTACAGAGGCAGGAGGATCAGAAGTTCAAAACCAGCCTTGGAGGCATAGCAATTTTAAGGCCAGCCTAAAATGAATGAGACTCTGTCAAAAAAAAAAAAAATTGTACAGTGCATTCTTTGAACCTAAACTAGGTTATGTTCATGAGCAATAGAAAAAGAAACCTAGCAAAAATTAGCATGGACCATATCTATTTGCCTTCCATTGTATTCCAAACATGAAGGAAATGCATTGGTTTTGACAGGCATCTGATAGCAAAGGGCAGCACTTAATTTTTGCCTTTAAAATAATCCTCTGTTCGTCTGTGGACCATTGCCTCTGTTTCATTTGTAATACACATGGGTGTGTTCAGACTTGGTGAGGATTCCAGAGCTGCGGCTTACACAGCAGTCTGTCTTCACCGGGACAGCCTGTGTTGCTCCTGTGTTCTGCATTTTTTAAAAGGTTTGTTTGTTGAGGCAGGGCTCACTGTGCAGCATTGGCTGACCTGGAGGTCACCATGTAGACCAGCCTGAACTGGAATTCATAGAGCCGCCTGCCTCTGCCTCTTAAATAATGGGACTAAAGGTGTGCACCACCACACCTGGCCCTGTTCTGACTTAACCCTGGTACTCAGTGTCGGTCCTCTTTGCTTCTGACTCACCTCGACCCCACAAAACCCCTTTGCTCTTTTTACTTTCATATACATGCATACACGCACGCACGCACGCACGCACGCACGCACGCACATTCTTGTACTGATTTTCCTGCCTTGCTTCTCTTGCTTCTTGCCTGGCCTCCTGATGAACCTGTTTGCTCTCATGTTTTGCTAACTAAAGAATCAATGGCAGTGTGGGGGGAACCCCAGACCTTTTCTTAGTGAAGCACATAGAGGAAAGATGTGTTCAACTCTGCTAGCCTCCTGGGGAACATCAGCAAAAGTGAACTAAAAAGGCAGTGTTCCTTTGCACCTGGTCACAGGACTGGTCACTAGCATTTGTTACAATAACTTGGCAAGAAGGAAATTAAAAGAAGCATGCAAGACAGGAAACGGGGCTGATGGCTTCCGTTTGCTTTGTCTTGCTCTTGCTGATGTGTTAATTCACAAATTCATGCAATCCTCCGTCCTGATTTGCTCTCCTTGTTTTGTAGTATGATCTGAAAACTGAAACTTCTCCTCTGGTAATGGTTGTATCCACCACGGGTACTGGAGATCCCCCCGACACAGCCCTCAAGTTTGTTAAAGAAATACGTGACAAGACACTACCCACAGACTTCTTTGCTCACCTGCGGTATGGATTATTGGGTAAGGGACTGTATTTTGTTTTTAATATATGCAGTTATTGCTTTGATATATGAATTTATCTTTCCAAATCATGAAATATAATGTCTTATTTTTATATAAATATATCTATATAAAATATAGACATGTCAATGATTGTCCAGTTTATACTTCAAAGCAATGCTCTGGTCCTCCCTTCCTCCTGTCCTGGGTGTATCTGGATATCAAGCCCAGGGCCTTACATCCTAGGGGAGCACTTTACACTCAGCTGTACCCTCAGCACTCTGCAGAAGCTCTCGAGTATCCAGGGAACGTTTTCAGAATATTAGTGTCCAGGCCTCACTTCAAACCTACTAAAACAGAATTCTTGAATATTTAATTGTTTAAGATAACAGCAGGTCACGAAAACAAAGTTATGTTTCCCTAAGAACCTAACTTCAGAATTGTGGTTTTCAGCCC